ATGTGGCATTCTGACGTTGAAGAACTAATGGAACGTACCATACAGTACTTGTAACCGCACACAGCAAATGTCACTTGGGTCTGGTCGCGAACCACTTTTGCTGGAATGCTTTTGCACCGTCAGTCTGGAATTTCTAGGGACGCACAGCAGTTTCCCACCAAAGAGAAAGGGGGAGCCTATTCGAGAACTCGCGAGAACTTCGGCGGCGAGAGTGTTTATCTTCCAAAACAACAATGCAAGATATCACGGTCACAGAGATGGATCTAGAGTTGCTAGACATCGAAGACGAACAGGTTCTGTTAATGGAGTTGGCAAAAAGACCGATAAATCTTTCGGCGTAGTTGTCCATTGTAGTTGTTCCTCGGTTTTTAAAAATGGTGCGACCTGGCCCCGACTCGAGAAAGAAGAACCACGCAGACAGCCGGAAAGGAATACCAAAGACCAATCACAGCTGCTTTTTGTCTGCACACTTCCGCTTGAGGTCAGCGCGGGTTTGTGACCGTCAAATACATAGTCAGGATTATTTTTTTTCCCTCTTTTTTTATTATTTTAGGTACGCAACGACGGTTGCAGAATGTGTGCGTGGTCGCGCACAGACACAGATTTGACGGTTGCAGAGGCTATGCGTCAGAAGCATAAATTGGCCCTAAGTCTTATCAAATTTGATGCCACTTTCCTTTATCCTGACCACAACCTCCGCTCATCCCCACACTTTGTCATACCCCTCAGTTTCTCCTGATTTTTTAAAACTTTGTCTAGGATATTCTTTAACATAAGGTTTAGTTACACTTTAACAAAACATGCATATATATTTATTTTTTCTATTTTTTTGGTTTGGGGTCAGCCATTTGTCCAATTCCCACTTCAGTCCATTGCCACTTGGTGACAAGTTTATCTCTTGATAGACTATGTGGACATTTTGTCTTATATCCTGTAATTCTGCAGAAGAATAAGCGAGTCCACGGTTCACTTCTCCCACAACTCGCTTCAATTAGTAATGAATGCCCCCCCCTCATTCCATCTCAAATGAAACCTTCTGAAACACAGAGCGGGGCGCTAAACAAAGATCAAATTCACTCTCCTGCCACCAAAGAGCTGAATTGTGGACAGACAGACTTGGACGCCTCCGTTTCTCTCAGGGGGATAGAATAAATTCCAAGCTTATTTATACTGTTCCAAAAATCAACTTCATACAAAAGGCGAGCAGAGGACAAAGCCATCATTTACTGTGGCCCCTCAGGCAGATAATTGCAGATAGTGTGACCCCTATGCAGAGGAACCAAAGCTGTACATTCGGACAATATAATATACCGACGGCCATTGTACTCTAGATCTAAGAACTGTGCTCTTGAGCCGACATGTTTCATATGCCAAAGAGGATGATGGATGAAAGCTACAACTGGTCAGGACAACCTCAAGTATCTATGTCAAAGTAAAGTTTCTTAAATGCTGGCATTAGCCACTGACCACACAAGGTTCAGTCATCTATAAAGAAAAGTAAGTATCGAGGCAACTGAGCAAGTTTAAAATCTGTTGAAAAGGCTTCACTGCTTTCTCTATAAGTACAGAAAGGGATTCCCAGCGGGGGAAAAAAGCATTTTGAGCTTTTCCTTCAGGGTTTGTATGAGGAAGTGTGAAGTAGATAAATAACATTTAAAAAAATATAAAAGCAGGAAAAATGTAAAACCTTCTTTCATCTGCAGAACATTGCAAAAATTAGAAATATCTTTTTCAGGGATGATGCTGAGAAACTAGTCCATGCATTTGTTACTTCAAGGCTAGGCTATTTTAATTCTTTAGGATGAGGAAGTCCTCAAACTGTACTTAAAAGCCTTGAGCTGATCCAAACTGCTGCAGCCAGAGTTCTGATGAAAATTAAAAAGAGAGATCATATCTCTCCTATCCTGGCTTCTCTTCATTGACTTCCTGTTGAATCAAGAATAGATTTTAAAATCCTCCTTCTCATATGTAAAGCCTTAAATGGCCAAGCTCCATCTTATAGCAGTGATCTGCAGGTTAGTAGTTCCTAGAATTTCTTAAGTAGAATGGGAGGCAGATCTTTTAGTTGTCAGTCTACCAGCGACCAGTGTTAGTCCATGAGGCAGACATACTGTCTACATTTAAAGCTAGGGTTAAAACCTTCCTTTTTGATGAAGCTTATAGTGAAAAACAGAGTGATGTTTGCTTAGTCTCTGGGTGAGTAGAGAGGAAGGTGGAGGTAAAGTATCAGCAGCCTGATCCAGTGGGGGAGAATTTCAGTCCAGACAGACGTTTCTCCTTGGCCCTATTGTGGCTGTACCTTTCTCATATCTGATCTGAAATAGTTATGTTAAGGCTGCTGGGGGATTTCATAATTCGATCTCTATTCTCTATTCCTGCATTGTTTGTTAGTTCAACCTCATTTTTTGTTCTCTCTGCTTTTTCTCATCATAGTAGCTTCATCTGGTCTCTTCCTGTTTGTCTGTGACACCAACCTGGAAAGAAATATCAGCTGTGCTGCTGCAATCAACACCTTTGTTTATAGATGTTGGAGACCGACCTATTTTTCAGTGTAGTCCTGTTTCTCTGACGGTGACTAACTGGATGTGCTCTCTTCATCCTTTGACATGGGAGCTGGCTCGGAGCTCGTCAGCCTGGCTGTTTGTTTCCTGGATGGGAGCTGGTTGACATTTGCCTTTTGTATCTATGCTTCTTTCTGTATCTCTGTTTCTGTCTCGTTGAACCCCAGTCGGCCTCGGCAGATGGCCGCTCGCACTGAGCTTGGTTTTGCTGGAGGTTTCTTCCTGTTAAAAGGGAGTTTTCCTCCCCACTGTTACTGCATGCATGTTCAGTGCGTGGGATTGCTGATGCATCAACAACTAAATCAGAGCAGAAATCCTCACAGCAAGCTCATCCAGGAAGATGTCCTGCAAGTCAATGACTGAATACAATCAACTGGTTTTCTTTGATAAAAAATGTTAACCATCCTGACTGCTTTGTCTCTGTAAAGTGCCTTTAGAAGACATGTGTTGTGAATTGGCGCAATAAATATATAAACTGAATTGAAAAATTCTGAAATGCATTTTTTTCCCCCCAAATTTCAATTTACAGAATGTTTTTATTTTTTTCTTTGCTCCATTAATGGAACAAAATACTTTCAAACTGAAAAGTCTATAAAATTGTTTCTAATATAATATAAAGATTACTTTGTGTTGTGTCGCTCTTTTAACCTGACGCCCCTAAATCAAGAGCAACCAACCGTTAGAAGCCATTCAATTAATAAATGGTGCTAAGTGCCAGTTCATCTAAATAGCCAGCTGTTCTGTGGAGGCCTTTAATGATGTACATTAGGGAACAAACAGCATCAAGAAGATGATAGAACAGGACAAAAAGGTCAGGGAGAAAATCATAGAATAGTTCAAATCACATAACAAAAAATAGAATAAAAAATTAACCAAATAACCCATCAGCATAGAAAATACCATCCCAATCTTTGCACATCTAAAAATGGAACAGCACAACCAGAAAACCTATGAAAACACAGCTGTCTTCCTAAACTGACAGGTAAAGGATGGAGAACATAAAAAGGAGAAACAGCTAAAAGGCTACAGTGACTCTGGAGGAGCTGCAGTGATCAACTGCTTAGGTAGCAGAATAAATGGACAGAACAACTTACAGTTGGCCACTCAATAAATCATGTCTTTACGTCAGAACGATGAGAGAAAGCAAGTTTTGCAAAATAAACTGAATAATTCTGCACAAAGATTTCCACAAGCCAGATAGGAAACAAGTTAAATATTCTCTAGTTAAATAAAACAGAATACATGTTTTATTTTATTAGATTAATAAAAAAAAACAAAAAAAACAGGAAACTGCAAAGTTGAAGCATTCCTGGAAGAAAACCAGTAGAAGACTCACGAAATGTTTTAAAAACCAACAATGTGCCTTAAACTCCAGTTATGCTGTCATTTCTGTTGGTATATTACCCTATATCCCTTATGACACCTCAAAGTGTTTAGCAGATCGATTACCTTTTGTAAGGCACGTTGAAAGTCTAATCATTCTCCTGTTTAAACATCATTAAGTCTCTGGAAGAAGCTCTGTCCCAATCAGCCATTCTTTCTGACATGCTTCTGCAGCCAAACGCTTGGGTGACACCATGTCTTTGCAGCACTGCATTTAATCCCCAATCAGGCTGACCTCACAGGATGAAAAAGCCAGAGCATGTTCAACTAAACTAACAAGTCTGCAACAGAGCCAAATCTTCTGATGACTTACTAAAAGGCTAGAACATGCGGTGAACATGCTCCCATTGTGGTTTTCATTTCTGCAGTTTGGACTCTGCATGCCATTCTCCAACCCTGTGCTGTTCAGGATCATCCAAACACGCCTGTGCCATTAAAACAACCCCTTCTGCTGCAGATCATGAGCCTGAAAGTTCGATTTAAAAACAAGAAAAACATTGTATGAATAGGAACTAATTTAGTAGAGTAAACGATCTTAAATCGAGGAGTAAACAAGTCCCCCAATGTGACCGGGATAATTTTTCTTTAAACTGTCAAACAGGGACTTGCGTGTTCATGTTCAACAACCAGCAAAACTCCACATTTCAGAGGAAAGCCAGGAGGCAACACGAGGTGAGCTGCATCGTTATTCGGATCAAAATAATGCTGCTAAATAGAAATCACTGGGAAAAGGCCACACATTTTAGAAGCTTTATTTGCAATCGTGCAAACTGCATGTGGAAACAAACAGGAGCGCCCCTAAAATGAACATGCAGCTGACGCAATAGGTCCATCATGCATCATATTTATCCCTCCAGCTCAGGTTATTGTTTTTTAAATATAACTCACTGACTCGTAAAGAGGCAATAAATGCAAACTCTAAAGCAATCAACAGCTGATTACCACGGTCCACGGATGGATTTGGTGGTTTGAGTGTATCCACGCATGAGAAGGACACGCTGGAGTAAAGTTCTGAATGACATGTTTTAATGCAGCAGCAGACAAATGTTGACTTACTTTCTGTGCAACACATCCCACAGCCAGGAGCAGACATGCTGTCAGCGCCCCAAGCCACGTGAAACGAGTCATTTTCCTCCAGTTGTTTTGGTTTTTCCGACGCGTCGCACCCTGAGCAGCAGATCCTCTGCTTCCCTCTCAATCACCTGAAGCATCGGGAGCGCGCTTCCATCGCTCCCTGCCTCTCTCTCTGCACACATTTATTGGAAAACAACACACCCCTCGCCTGCCCCACTGTACTACTCAATGGCTCATTTTATTCATTCATAACATCCTGATAACTCAAGAAATCAAATAAAGGTGAAAAATTGAGTTCTACGGAACAGGATTAGGGCTCCTGGAAAGAAAAAAAAAGTTAACTGATTGTTAATCATTATTTCAGTTTAATATTCTGACTTTAATCTCAAAATTGTCTTGTCTCAAAAAAAGTGTTTTATCTCAGAATTCTGACTTTCTTCTCAGAATTATGACTTTAATCTCAGAATTCTGACATTAATCTTAAAATTCTGGCATGTTTCTCAGAATACTGACTTTTATCCCAGAATTCTGACTTTAATCTCAGAATTCTGACCTTTTTTCTTGGAATTCCGACTTTCATCTCATAATTCTTACTTTTTTCTCATAATTCTGACTGAATTTTGACAGCTAACAAACATGTTAACATCAAGCCACGTCTAGAGACTAAACTAGCTCTCTTGTTTTAATCACCTTCTGCTCTTCCATTAATTTAATAGCATCACAGGGGACCCCTCAGGCACGTAAAAAGTTGCCTAATTCCATCATTTTCCTCCAAAGTGTTTCTGGCCCTCCCAAACAACTCATCTTTGTTAGTGAAGCTGAGAGCTCCCACATCTCTTTCCTCATGGTGCCCTTTAAGATTAAGATCCAAAATTCTGAGATTAAAGTCAGCATTCTCAGAAAAAAAAGTCAGAATTCTGAGATTAAAGTCTGAATTCTGGAAAAAAAGAAAAAAATATGTTTTTCCCATATTACAGTTTTTCTTGATTGTTTACACACAAATATTGGTACTTGAAACACAATGACCACAAAATGTAACTCATGCACCAACCCCCTGAACCAATTCTGCTAAACTACAAGCACAATTCCTGCTTTACACTCAAATTGCAGTTCTAAAACACACTTTTTCCAAAACTCTACACACAATTGTCATAAAGAAAATCTTTTGTTTTCACAAGGAACACACTGTTATTCAAAACTCTAAAGTTAATTTCCCTACTATGCACACTGACTCCTCACATGGGCAAACACCTAACACACATGTTTCCACTCAGCAATCAGAGCTTTAGCATAAAAGGGCAACAGGTGAGCTCTTCTGTTTTGGAGCAATGGAGGCCAATGTTGTAAACAGAGGCAGAGCCAGAGCCAGAGCCAGAGGAGTGAGAGTAAGAGGAGGACGATGGGGAGGACGAGGACGAGGAAGGCCAAGGACAATCATTTCTGATGAGTTCCGAGCCACTTTGGTTGACCATGTCTACTCTCACTACAAAACTGCAGTACTGCATATCAATACAGTACTCAATGAGTACAGGTGCTGGTCATAAAATTAGAATATCATGAAAAAGTAGATTGATTTCAGTAATTCCATTTAAAAAGTGAAACTTGTATATTATATTCATACATTACATACAAACTCATATATTTCAGATGTTTATTTTGTTTAATTTTGATGATTACAAATGAAAATCTCAAATTCATCATATCAGAAAATTAGAATATTACTGAAGACCAATAAAAACAAAGGATTTATAGAAATGTTGGCCAACTGAAAAGTATGAACATGAAAAGTATGAGCATGTACAGCACTCAGTATTTAGTTGGGCCTCCTTTGGCCTGTATTACTGCAGCAATGCGGCGTGGCATGGAGTCGATCAGTCTGTGGCACTGCTCAGGTGTTATGATAGCCCAGGTTGCTCTAATAGTGGCTTTTAGCTCTTCTGAATTGTTGGGTCTGGTGTATTGCATCTTCTTCTTCACAATACCCCATAGATTTTCTATGGGGTTAAGGTCAGGAGAGTTTGCTGGCCAATTAAGAACAGGGATACCATGGTCCTTCAACCAGGTACTGGTAGCTTTGGCACTGTGTGCAGGTGCCAAGTCCTGTTGGAAAATGAAATCTGCATCTCCAAAAAGTTGGTCAGCTGCAGGAAGCATGAAGTGCTCTAAAACTTCCTGGTATGTGGCTGCGTTGACCCTGGACCTCAGAAAACACAATGGACCAACACCAGCAGATGACATGGCACCCCAAACCATCACTGACTGTGGAAACTTTACACTGGACTTCAAGCAACGTGGATGAAGTGCCTCTCTTCTTTTCCTCCAGACTCTGGGACCTTGATTTCCAAAGGAAATGCAAAATTTACTTTCATCAGAGAACATGACTTTGGACCACTCACCAGCAGTCCAGTCCTGTTTCTCTTTAGCCCAGGCAAGACGCTTCTGACGCTGTCTGTGGTTCAAGAGTGGCTTGACACAAGGAATGCGACAGCAGAAACCCATGTCTTTCATACGTCTGTGTGTGGTGGTTCTTGAAGCACTCACTCCAGCTGCAGTCCACTCTTTGTGAATCTCCCCCACATTTTTGAAGGGGTTTTGTTTCACAATCCTCTCCAGGGTGCGGTTATCTCTCTTGCTTGTACACTTTTTTCGACCACATCTTTTCCTTCCCTTCGCCTCTCTATTAATGTGCTTGGACACTGAGCTCTGTGAACAGCCAGCCTCTTTAGCGATGACCTTTTGTGTCTTGCCCTCCTTGTGCAAGGTGTCGATGGTCGTCTTTTGGACAACTGTCAAGTCAGCAGTCTTCCCCATGATTGTGTAGCCTATAGAACTAGACTGAAAGACCATTTAAAGGCTTTTGCAGGTGGTTTGAGTTAATTAGCTGATTAGAGTGTGGCACCAGGGGCCATCAATTTTGAACCTTTTCACAATATTCTAATTTTCTGATATGATGAATTTGAGATTTTCATTTGTTGTCATTTGTAATCATCAAAATTAAACAAAATAAACATCTGAAATATATGAGTTTGTATGTAATGTATGAATATAATATACAAGTTTCACTTTTTAAATGGAATTACTGAAATCAATCTACTTTTTCATGATATTCTAATTTTATGACCAGCACCTGTACAGTAGTACAGTATTACCTGTGGACTGTTCTGTAGGACATTGTGTTTCGAGTATTTGGGAAATGTATTCCTACACAGTATTTACAGTATTGCACTCTTTGTATTGCAGAACTGAAAGATTACCAACAAGAGGTGGACGGGGCCGTCTTCTGTCTCCTGAACAGGAAACAGAGATCATGAACATGGTTCTTGAAAATAACTCCATTACCTTACGACAAATATAAAGAAAAACAATAGAAAACAATGCGATATTTCAAAATTTTGATAGGGTAAGTTTATCAACGCTGGACCGTGTCTTGCAAAGAAATAAACTGAGGATGAAGCAGGTCTACAGGGTGCCATTTGAGCGCAATTCAGAAAGAGTCAAAGAATTGCGATATAACTATGTGCAAGTACGTCCTATACATTCCCACCCTTGATGCATACTGTCAACATTGTATAAATCATACATATTTCTTTCTATTATATTGTAATCATAATGATTGTGCTTCACAATAGTGACCGCTCCATGTCTACTTCTGATATTGTCATGTGTGTTTCAGAGAGTCCTTGAGCTGGAGGTGGATGCAGTGGAGCACCAGTTCTTCTTCATTGATGAGGTTGGATTCAACCTCACAAAAAGACGAAGGAGGGGAAGGAATATAATCGGCCAGCGTGCCATTGTTGAAGTCCCTGGCCAGCACGGAGGGAACATCACAATGTGTGCAGCGATGACCCACCATGGCATCATCCATCACCATGCTACCCTTGGCCCCTACAACACAGCCCATCTGATCACATTCCTGGACACCCTACACAACACACTCATTCCACCAGATCAGATAGACGGCCCAGAGCAGCTCAGGTACGTTGTCATTTGGGACAACGTAAGCTTCCACCGGGCTGCTCTGGTTCACTGACCCCCCACGCTTTTCAGTTGTTTATCTCCCTCCATATTCTCCATTCCTCAATCCTATTGAGGAATTTTTTTCTGCCTGGAGATGGAAAGTGTACGACCTAAATTCAGAAACGCGTATACCCCTTTTCCAAGCTATGGAAGACGCATGTGGAGATATAGCAGTTGATGCTTTTCATGGCTGGATTCGCCATGCTAGGCGATATTTCCCCCGCTGCTTGGCCAGGGAAAACATTGCTTGTGATGTAGATGAGGTGCTGTGGCCAGACCGAAACAGAAGAGAGGATGCAGCATAGTTTATTTTGTTTTGTTTTTTTTATTATTACTGTAACTGTATACAGTAAAATCTTCTGCACTGTATGTGCAACTTTGTGTCGGTTGGGATGTACACTGTGTACATTGTTTTGTGGCAAAAATAAAACATGTTTGTTACAGTATATTTGTGTGTTCTGAGTATAAAAACAATATTCTATTAGTATAATTACTATAAGTATTTTACTACGCACTTATGTATTTAATGTCTGTAGTAAGTGTAACACTGAACAAAAAGTCATTATGATGAATGGAGAATGGTGTTTTACACTGAGCACATCAGTGTTTAAATGCTTTTTTTAATTGTCTGTTCATATGATAGTTTGTGTGTGTCATCTGAACACAAAATGGCCTTTTGTGAAGAGATAAAACTGTTTTGAATGTAAAGTTTCATTTTGCAGGAGATTTGAAGGGTTTTGCCCATTGTGTGTGTGTTTGTTGGATTTGTGTGAAGAGTTCTGAGAATACGAGGCATGTTTTCAGAAATGTGTGTAAACAATCCAGAAAAACTGTAAACTGAAATATAAAAAATTGTTAACTTTTTTATTATTATTTTCTTTGGCCCTAATCCTCTTCCATAGAGTTGACCAAATGTATTCTAAAATCCGTTATTAATCCAAAAGGGAAATTACATTTTGTAGTAACACATGCTTTATTTATGTTTATGTTTTTATTTTCAAAAAGTTATTTTAAATGTTGGCAGGGAGAATCTTCTGTAGCGGTCTGTCTTGTACCAGATCTGGATAAGCCCTTGAATGAAGAGCATGCTCACAGTTTTCCATAATGTTCTTCGTTCTATAAAGAATTTTTCTTTGTGAAATCATTTACCGCTTT